AGTACCTAAGACAAGACTTGAGACATATCGGGTACTTCTACCCAATGTTAGTAGGTAGGTAGAAGAAAAGCATTGAGGCAGAAGAGATAATCAGAGTTGTATCCCTCTGAGAATATGACTTACCTTATGAAAAATAGGAGGTGTTTTACCAGAAGAAGAGATAGAAAGGAGCATTGAATTTGGAGTAAGGGGAGCTGGGTTGAAATCTAAGCTCTGACACTAGCTGCATTACCATAGGCAAGTCTAAATGAGTATAATAGTATTTGTGCTACTTACCAAGATTTTAAATGCCAAATTAATGTGTTGTTATTAATATTAAATTTAAGATATGCTGCTTAAAAAGAGGATTAATATGTAATGGAGAAAGTCCTATCCTAGCGATGGTTAAGTATGTGACATTTTAGAGTATCTTCTAACCTTAGGGTTTGGACATACTCGTTTGTCCAGGGACTCAGAATAACACTGCTGCCACTCAACTGATTCCAAGACCAATTGCTGTAGCTCTAGAGAATGGCAGAAAGTGGAGGGCCCTTCACTGTTAATAGAAGTTATATCACTGAAGCACTTTGCTAGAATATTTTGTCCACTCAGGTTTGGGAACCCTCTTTTTAGTCAAAAAAATTTGTACTGTTACTTATAGGCAATTACAGAAACCCAAAGCTCTCTTCACAAAGAAAAAATATGGCCCATTTAAAGTGGATTTTTTTTTTTGGTCCAAACTATGACTTCAAAGTAGGGTAATTTCTGGGATGGAAACTCTCTCCTTAAATAACTTCTTTATAATTTAGTCTTGGAGAAGTATGTGGAGGAATGAGGTTAAGTGACTTAGACATCATAACTATCAAAAGTGATGTTTGAATCCATATCTTCCTGACTCCAAAGGCATTCATTACTTGATCCACTTTGCCACACAACCTTAAACATACTAATAATACAGGCAAAATAAATACTTCCATTTCAATTACTGGATTTTTCTAATAAGCTAAAAAATAATACAATTCTAATTTGTATTTGTGATCATTCAGGCTTAATCCTCTCTTCTGCAAACCCTAAGGATCTCTTAAGTCCATTCCAGAGCTAGAATTCCATGATTTTAATTAATAGTATAAGATCTAAAATAATAGTAGAGACATCAAAGTGTAAAGGAGAGAGCACTGCACTTAGAGTCAGAAGGCCAGCGTTTGTGTCCCAACTCCAGCAATTGTCTACTTTTATGATATTGTATTAGTTACTTAAACAATGAACTTCAGTCTTCTCATGGGTAAAATGGGGATCATAATAATTGTTTTCCCTACTTCATCAAGTTGCTGTCAGAAATATGGAGATAATGCATGTGAATGCACTAAAGTAGCATATGAGTTACATTTATAGTACAAACAAGCCTATGGGAGAAATATTTAAGAAACATTTTAAAATAAAATTTTCAAGCATCCTTAAGCACTTTAGAAGGACCATTACCTACAAACTATTGCTGAGCTAACCAAAAATAACTCTCATTTATTCATTAAAATAAATCCCTAAGGCACTCCAATAAACAAGCCTTCCTTTGAGTTACTACTCAGTGTTAATAAGGTTACTTTCGAGAGTACTAGTCCAAGAGGACAAAGGGACTCTGTTACTTCTCTGACACCACATCACACTCCTATCCAAAGCCAACCAATGCATACCATTGATTCCAAGTTCAAACAGAGGACAGTGAAATGATCAGATAGATATCTCTGTCTACTATCACATAAATGACACCAACATGTACTATTCATCTGGGAAAAATATAAGATTGAATTAAATTATCTCAAAGGTACCTGCTGACTCTAAATTAGTTGTAGAGTCGGGGGACCTAGGTTCAAAGCCTACCTCTGATACTATTTGTGTGACATTGGGCAAGTCACTTCATTTCTCTGGGTCTCAGTTTCCCCAGCTATAAAATAAGGGGATTGGATAGAGAGGTGAAGTGACTTGCCCAGAGTAACAAATATAGTAAATGTCAGAGATGGGATTTGAACCCAGACTAAAGGACCTCTGATATCTCTTTCAAAATTCAATCTATGATCCTATGACTCCTCCCAACACAAACACACACATACACACACATACATCTATGTCAGGGAATAATAGGAAATGATGATGAGTTTGTCAGAAGGAATATTTGTTTCAGTTCATCACTGATCTGTGAATTTGTTGATGAGGAAACTTTTTCCACAAGTTCAGATCACAAGCTTTCTAGAAATTTCCTAGTTTCCTCATGTAGCTACATTAGTGAAGAGCTTCCTTAAACTTAATTCAGCTGCTCCTCAGACAGTATGATCAGAGAATTCCACATCTAGAACTGGATGGAGTCTCAGAGGCCCTTCTAGTTTAACCCCTTCATTTTGCTAATGAGAAAATTGAGGCCCAGAGAGGTTATGATTACACAGGTTACACAGACAGCATAAGAGGCAAGATTTGAACCCAGGGCCTCTAACTCTGGAGTAATTGCTATATAGTTCATCATTGGGTTGCTGTATTAGTCTTACTCTGATGCTTCATTAAAAGGCTTCAAAGGATATTTAGAAAGAATATCTGATTGAAAACCCTACAATCCTTGGGATGTTGTTAGGGGTAGGTTTGACTCAGGCCAGTACTCTGTTAGTTCAGGTTCAATACTGTAACAAAATGAGGCACTTGTAGGTCATTCAACAGTTAACAAGAGATTTACTTAGCCATAGCGTACAAATGATACTCCACAATGATACTCCAGCACGAGCTTGAATTGATGTGGCCTGGCCTCTCATCTCCATATGAAAATGAGTCTTGTCAGCAGGATGTGGCAATTTTTAGGGATATCCATAAAGTCTGAAGGACTCTGACTCCATACAATTGGGCTTTTAGAGCCCTTGGGTGACCAGAAAGTTACAGAAATATAAGAGGCGACCTGAAAACTAGGTCAAGGAATGTGAATTTTGAACCTTAGCCCGCTAGGCCAAACAAGTCCTGAAGACAACTTTGTCACCTATAATGGAAAAACTAGCCTATCCAATATTTTAGGGAGAAGGAGAATCATAGATGAGTACAGAATTTAACTATTTTGTTGTCTCAAAGCAAGACTCAATTTAGACTATCTATTCAGATAGGTCTCATTTAGCTTTTAAAGATCTCCTGGGAAAGAGATGCAATATTCTCTCTTAGCAACTCACCCCCTCTGCTATAAAATCCACTACACTTGAAAGAAGTATATGATGCTATTGTAGCAGTTGTTAAAAGGGATGAAACAATTCTGTGTCTATATTAGCAAAATGAAGTATGGAACTGGGTTAAAGGAGAAAGAAAAAGGAGTTGTAGAACTGAGGGGAAAAGGGAGATGTGAAAGTGAGTCATGAAGGTAGTTGAGTGTTTTTCAGGTTCACTGCATCCCATCCAGATCCTTTTTGCTGTCATCTACAGACCCAGATCATTCTCCCTCTTCCTCAACATATCCAATATCTGTCTCCAATACCCTGGACTCCCCTCAGTAACTTTAACTTCTACAAACTGTGTCTAGACTACATCAAACATGCATGAGAGAAGCTGTACATTAGATCTAACCCCCAACCCTCCATACACATATACATACTCAACTGAATTTTGTCCCAGATGCTAAAATTTTTAGTTATAGCTCTGAATATATACTATTTACTCATTATAATATAGCTTTTTTTTCAACTGTGTATATTATTTTGTTGTCATTCAGTTGTTTTTCAGTTGTGTCCCACTCTTTATGACCTCATTTGGGGTTTTGTTGGGAAAGATACTGGAGTGTTTCCCATTTTCTTCTCCAGCTCATTTTGCAGATGAGAAAACTGAGGCAAACAGGGTTAAGTGACTTACCCAGGATCACACAGCTAGTAAATGTCTGAGGCCAGATTTGAACTCAAGAAGATGAATCTTCCTCACTCCAGGCTTGATGCTCTCTATCCACTGTGCCACTTAGCTGCCCTATGTATATCATAAGACCATATATTATGATGAAAAAATATTCTGGCCCTTGCTTTTTAAATATGAAGAAATTGAGGCCTCGAGAGGTTATATAATTGGTCACAGGGTAGTAACTGACAGTCAGGATTCAAACCTAGGATTTTCAGTGTGTTTCTGAGTGAATCTATTGCAAATTATATGCAGAAACTAGTCATTTGCAGATGGATGGACTTTTCTATAAATGATCAGTTTGAATTGAACTGTTCAAATACATTGAATTCTCAATAACACAAATTAAACAAAACAGTGAAGCCTCCTGTGAAGCATGCAACACTGAAAACTGAATGAACATCAATGACTTGCAGCAGCAGAAGATGTCCCCACTTAGGCTTGTTAGCTCAAATCCAAGATAGCTTAAAATGTGCATGACTCTCAGCCATTATTCCAAAAATGTTGACAACTGTGATTCCTTTTGAAATCCCGAATCTTTAGCTATTATCTGCAATTGGGCAGGTTTCCATATACAACAGTCAAGCATAGCCATACACAAACACATTTTCACAAGCCTTCTTTGGACTTCGAACTAATTTTATACTATTTTGGGGTTGGGGGAGGAAGAAAGCCTATTGCCAAAGTTATTTTAGATGTGGAGTCATGCAGACATTTCCTCACATTCCAAAAGGTGCTAGCCTTGTCCTCATACCCAGGTTCATAGTGTTTTAGGTGTTCAGCATAATTTGCACTCTTATTACAGCCTTTGTGCTGTTTTATTTTTTACCTTGAGACTGGTTTGCCATTTCAAAAAGGCAAAAAAACAACAACTGACAAAAAGATGACTGTGTCCTATCTTCCACTTCAATTGCAGTCTCACTTCTTTCAATTCTTATCCGATCCTCATTCTTAATTTGATCACAAAGGGGTAAGGAACATTCTGAAAACTTGAAAGTTGAGTTTGCAGTTTTCCAGACAATTTTTAAAACTTGGCCATTTGAGCAAAGTATTTCTTCTTTGACTTTAATTGGATGGCAAATTAACTTTTCCTTCCCATTCTGTTTTATTTCTGTTTCTAGTGACGGTGGTACTTTTTGCAGCTCTGAGGCGGCAGAGGAAGAAGGAACCTTTAATCATTTCCAAAGAGGACATCAGAGACAACATTGTCAGTTACAATGATGAAGGTGGTGGAGAAGAAGACACTCAGGCCTTTGATATTGGCACACTAAGAAATCCTGAAGCCATAGAAGACAATAAATTACGGAGAGATATTGTGCCAGAGGCACTTTTTCTCCCTCGACGGACTCCAACAGTACGCGATAACACTGACGTCAGAGATTTCATTAACCAAAGGTTAAAGGAAAATGATACAGATCCTACTGCCCCACCATATGACTCCTTAGCTACCTATGCATATGAAGGCAATGGCTCTGTGGCAGAGTCCCTGAGCTCCTTGGAGTCTGTCACTACAGATGGAGATCAAGACTATGATTACCTTAGTGACTGGGGGCCACGGTTTAAGAAGCTGGCAGACATGTATGGTGGCACAGACAGTGATAAAGACTCTTAATATGTTGCCTTTTTTCATTTTCCAATACAGCATTGAGATTTGTGAAGTGGCTATTTCTTTATATTTATCCACTGCTCTGTGAAGGGTCCTCTATTCTACCAATTCCAAATGTTAATGACTGCAGTCTTTGTGGATCAAATGTTAGAGACTTTTTCTAGTAAACTTTTATGAGTTTCCAAGAGGCAAAGTTTTATTTTTTAGTGCATCCAGTTTACCAACCCAAGTCTTTCAGGCACAGTGGTAGTAGAGAGGACAGGGAGCAATATTTTTACTTGTTCTCTCAGTGTATATTTGAGGACATTATTCTTTCCACTCGCCTGTTTTTTTTGACCAGCTCTTATTAATTCAACTCAGATGACTGTTCTAGCTGTACATTACACTTACTGATGTGATAAGGAATTGCAATTTAACCTAAATACAGTATTCTAGTAAAAGTAATGGGGGAGGAATAACTATGAAACTAGTATTGTCTGACAAAGAGATGAAAAAAATCATATATACTATAATTTTGCAGGTAATTCAGAAATACCAGTTAGCCATTGTCTCCTGTTCTTTGAGTATTTTTTTTTTCAGTATTAGCTACTCTTCTGAAAGCATGAAGTCAGTTAGTAATCAAAGGTACAAATTCCATAGATCAATCTATCATTGGGTACACTGTTCTTTGGATATAATATGATGGGCCAGCCCAATTAAGGGTATACAATTTCAATGCCAGTTTATCATAGTTTTATGATACACTTCAAGTCAATAAGCATTTATTAAGTGATTACCGTGCACCAAGTCTGCAAGTCGTAATCACAAAGTGGTAGTTTAAAATTTCATTAATTCTCTCTCTACTAATTCAGAATTTATGATCACATATAGGCATGCTGAAGTTTTGCCCTTGCATTATGTTATGCTTCAATATTTCAAGAATTTGAGCTTTCATCTCTATGGATATTCCTCCACCAATGCAGTTCACACAACTCCTCCAAGCCTTAGTAGACTCTCTTCTTGAGTGACTGCAGCCAAATGTTTATCATCTGGTACCAGCTTTTTGGTGATGAGCCTCTATAAACTGAGATAGGCCAATTAATGAAGGACAGCCTTTTACCAGTCCCATCCTGGAAGCCTTTCCAACTTGACCTTTGCTTACATAGCATTTGAAAACTGAAGATTACTTCCTCTGTGAGGCAACAGAATAAGAGTATGGGGCGAGGGAGACCTGTTATGAGGGAAATCAAAGGTTTTACAGGCAATCAATAGTGTAAACAAAGAAAACATATAACTTTGTTAAACTGAAAACCAGCAAACTGGTTGAAATCATCATTTGAAATTATAGATGATTTAGATTCTAAACTATAAATGAGCTAATTACAAATGATACTATTTGTTAAAGCCCATAAAAGTTGTCAGAGATAGTTTCTCTCCTGTACTTGTTAGCAGTTTTACTGCATGTTTGTGAAAGTAATAAAATACTTCCTATATTTTTTAAACCAGTATTTTAGGCTTTTCACCAAATTGAACTAAATTTTTCTTGATTAGCGATCTTGAATCTTTCTTGAATTCGGTGATATTTTATTGAATAGCTCAAATCATGCTGTCGGTGGTGAGGTGAGAGCCAAATTTGAAACTGAATTTTGTTGATTTAGTTGTATTTCTATAAATATATATAGAACCTAAATAAATAAATAGACCTGATAGATATAGTTATAGATGGAAAAATTGGGCTTGTAGTACTTAATGATAAAATGGAAGCCTGCTATTAAAATGCTTACAGAAGACAAACAAATGAAAATCTTAGATGTCTTGAGTGAGCTAAACAGGGTTGTTCAAGGTATCAATTAAAATAATAGTCAACTTTTTTTTAAAATGTATTTCTTCAAATTGATTTTACCTTTGTTCCCATGGCAATTCTGTCACTCCTGCCTTGAAAAGTAATACTAAAATCATGGTTCCGCATCATGACAAAGGAGTAATGTAAAAATAGTTGAAGCCATCATTCCTATTATTGCACTTTTACTGTCATGTAGTGGGTTATTTGGAGGAGCTAATTTACGAACAAGTCTTTTTTAGCAAATTCCATTGATTTCATAATACCATCATCATGATCTTGTCATTTAAAGAACCCTATCATGTGCAATGATAAGGAATGTCCAAGGTACTGTAACTTTAGCAATCTTTGTTTATAAACTTAAATCTTTAAAATATAATTTGTTTACATATAAAATAGAAACTTATAGATATGCTTAATACACTGGTTTGTCTTAGGGATTTATTTTCTGTTAGCATTAATTTAGTATAGATATTCTGATTGTGATATGAGTGTTAGGGTATTGCCATTTTTATTCTCTCACAAAAATAAAGATATTTAAGTTAATAAAGAGGTATACCATTTAGTAGATACAGGAGTAAAAATTAATGATGACTCTAAAAAATTAGGGAAATGTATTTTTATTAGATAAACAAATACAGCAAAACATTTTTAAAGGACCTCAAAGTCATAGAATCATGGATTTAGATCCAGAAGGCACCATAGAAGTCATCTGATCCAAAACTCTAATTTTACAGATGAAAAATCTGAGGTCCAGAGAAGTTTAATTACTTAGCTAAGGTCATACATGCAGTAAGTGGCAGAACTGGTATTTAACCTTCTTGTAACTAGATTAATGGTGCTGGAAGGGACCAATTGAAAATTTTAAAGATTTAGAAACTGGAGAAGGGGACAAGTGATTTGCCCAAGGTCAATTAGTAAGTGACAGAGCTGGTTTCCTCAACCCAGGTTAATCTCTTGATCCTTCCCAATGCATTGCACTGACTTATTATTTCTTCAATGATACTCATTTTATAAACACTCTACACCCAGCAAGTGGCGTTTTACAAGTGGATATTTCCCATTTATAGTGTTTTCTTTCTAAGCTCTTCATAAAAAAGCTAGATTTCACTGTAATTAACCTATGTATATCATAGCCACAGGATATTACTGAAAAAGATAACAGCTACGTTAATTTAAAAGAATTAGGCATTTATAGAAATGTAATAGCACCTTAATTGCAATATTCAGTATAAAAATAAAAAGGTCATCATTCCTTCTGCTTCAGGTCATACAACAATTTGAAGCTGGGAAGAAAGACATTTAGCCAAATGGAAGACTGCCACACAGAGTGGTCTCCCTCTTGAGCACTTGACCCTAATTGGCTCTTTTGCAGATAGAAGACTTGTTATTTAGGTATGGCCAACTTGCAGTGATCTTGTGTTCTCCTAAAAAGAGTGAGTTGTTAGTCAGAATTAAATTCAAGGTTTGATAGACAAGTTCTTTATTGCAACCCCTGAAATGCCACATTCTACCCAGAATAGGCTAATCACGTTTTTTTGTTTAAATATTTAAATGAATATTTAGCTTGTTACCACAAAACCTGATCAAGTGAATTCCCACAGAATTAGATCATGTAAGAAAGGGTCTGTATGATTTACTTTGAGGTACAATTAACTCATCCATCATATCTGAATGCTATTTTTCCAGTAACTGACATAACTTGAACAATTAACAAGAGGTAAATTTTTTATTCCTCTGTTCTACTACCCCTACTTCTCCCCCACCATGATCTCAATTAAAGCACCATTCAGTGTGCAATTAAAAAAGAAAGTGCTAGAAACCTAGTTGAAAGTGCCAGCTAGCTATTAAAAAATAGGATTTCGGCTGAGTTTTTCATTGCACCTCATCTGGTATCAGATGGTGGTGTGGAGGAAAAGGAAAGAACAGGAAGAAGAAAAGTTTTAACAGCGTTACACCCTTTTTGGTTTTCACTGAGATACTAAAAATTGTCAAGTGTGAACATTATATATTATCCTTTTTTTAAAAAAAAAATGGGTTTAGGGGTCATTTCAAGGACATTAATGGGTCTTACCCACATTTATATTTAAGAAGAAATCATTCACCACCACTAATATAAACTGAAGATTGAGGGAGAGAAAGATTAAAGAATTTCACTATAACTTTAGAGCCAGTTGTGGAAACTGCGTGCCAAAACAACAACAACAAAAATCACAAAATACAAAATCAATAAATAAAACCTAAGAGATGGGAAATGCAGCAACGAGCAGTGGAAAAGGAAGCATATTGGTGAGAACCACATAGCGAAAGGAAGTTTGAATCACAATGTTAGCATCAGAATATTGGTCATCTTTCTCTGGGTGGATGTAGAAGGGGAAATCTCAGGGAGGGTCCCATACCCAGACTGACTTCATTTTTCAGGTGCTGGACAAAAACTAGCCAGCCAAACCAATCAGCTAGCTTCCTTTAAGGACTTGTCTCTGAAAAAGGTTTGCAGAGAACCTCAAACACACATACACACACACATACACACACACACACACACACACACACACGCACATGCACATGCACACACACAGAGTTTGTTTCTCCTAAATATTCTGGTTTTGTTAAGCGAAAGCAACTTTTAGAAAATTTTCCTTTTGTAATTCTTGTCAAATATTTTAAGATGCAAAACCGCAGGAAGTCTCAAACATACTAATTTGTTCAGTGGCAAGCCACATCTTGATGCTCCTCTTGGGGGGTGTGTGTGTGTGTGTGTGTGTGTGTGTGTGTGTGTGTGTGTGTGAGAGAGAGAGAGAGAGAGAGAGAGAGAGAGAGAGAGAGAGAGAATGGTAAAAAGTAACATGGGCAATTTAAGTCAAGCAATACTAGCTTCCATATATTTGAGGCTCACAAACAACAGGAGTGATAAAAACTAGGAGAGCATAGTTATGGTGTGGCCCTGTGGTTGTTGCTGGAGGCAATTTGCAATTTAAAATGGGGCATGTTTCTATCTCAACTTTTTCTATTTTCCCCAGGGACAGAAACTGTGTGAGAGAAAGCAGTGCTGAGCTGCTGTCCTGGGCCCTCATTTTATGAGAAGCAGAGGGTCCTAAGTTCTGTATAAAGTCCCAGCAAACTGAGACTGCCCCTCTCCCCAAGCTGGGAAGTGTTCCCTGGGAAAGTTGTCAGTTTCATGTAATCTCATTTTATGTAGTTCTGTCTAAATGAAATCTTATCTAAAATTGTGACCTTGTGGCAGGTGGTCCAGAATCTCAGCAACCCATTGTGTTTAAATTAACACTCCAATCTGGGCTTCTTTATCAAATAATGAAGTCAAGAAGATTAACAGATGTTATTTGGATCTTGACTGGTATATGAACTATTTCTTAGCATATAAGAAGGAGCTGTCCTTTCAGAGGCACAGAGCAATGGGCCTACATACTCAGGAGTTCAGTGAATGTTAAAACTACATCTTTAATCTCCCTTTGGCTTATTTATAGGATAATTTTCTAAAGGGATGATTCTCTCCTAAAAACATGGGAACAAGATTGTATTTAACTCGGGAGGGAACACTCTTAGAAAGGCAATACATGGACTCTCACACTTTTTAAAAGTTAATAAAGAAATATCTCATTTTTAAAGCTACTAGTTTATGGTCTCTGCACCGTCAATTTAATTTAAGCATTGCTGAGACAATCTTTAATCTGCGCACCATTTTGTAATACCTTATTTACGATGCATTTTCATGTTTTAATTTGGGGAAAACGCTAGCCTGATGATGCCAGGAGATGAAAGCACCAAAAGGAGGTCAAATGGAAACAAATGCTATTACGAGCTATATTTCAGGCAAGACTGTGGCACTTAGCAGAAGAGCCATTGGGTTATTAGATTAATTTCAAAAGAGCTTTTACAAGTTGCTTAACTACATTTTTTTTTTTAACTCATGGGCTACAAACTCAAATTTTCTCTCAAATGGGGTTAATTTGACAAATGAGGCATGGGTCCAGCATTGTGGAGAGAGCATTTCACTCTAATGGGATCTTGGTTTTCCTCTGAGACTGCACTATTTATGTAAATATGTCTGGAGACACTTCCTATAGCTTTTAGTTTTCTATGATCTATTAGTTTAGTGTTGATTAAAGAGACAAATGTATAGACTTATTAGACATTCAGGTGAATACAGCAGGATGGTCAAGGTAGAAGTGCTTTGCTCTGAGGGGGGAAGAAAAAGGAACTCTTCAAAAGCACGGAGTTTTTTGTGATTATTTTCAATGTTTTGGAAGTTAAACTGGAAGAAAAGGCCTTATAATAAATGCTCCAAGCAAGTTAAATGATACCAAGATAAGTCAATCTGGCTGCAGAGTCCTACTGTGATTTGTGATTTTAAAACTTTAAAATAAATGTTGGGGGTATTGATCTTTTTTAATTAAAAAAATACTCCCAAGTATAAATTGAAATTGATGCCACCCTTGAAGATTTACTAGCTGGAGTGCTCTGATCATGCCGTACCTCTCAATATCATTCCCTTGTTCAGTAGAGAGTCTGATGGAACAAGCACTACTTAGCACTAAGAAACATTTACAGTTAAGATTTTCATATTTTAATAGTACATGTTTGGAAGGTTTTCTGTATGAAAATAATACTGGAATGATTACTTTTCATCTCAGTGTGGCTGACCCTTTCATTGTGGTCAGATGGGCAATATGTACTCCCTCCTGCCCCTATGTCTTGTTCACCAAAATGGCTTTTTCGTTTTGTTAGACTTATGGATTTGAAAAGAATGCAATTTAAAAAGCGATTTCTCACACAGTGAATTTGCCTTTTTGCAAAACAATTTTTGTAACAAGTTATTTATATGATATTACTTAATAAATTGTTTTTTTATAACTTGTTTTTTTCTCCAATTCTCTCAAACCATAGTTTATATTTACTGAGCTAAAATTATTTTTTTTAAAGACTGACTCAAACTTGACCTTTTTGGATCTGCTGCTTTGAGCTCTCAGACACACTGTCAGAGCTTTGACTGAGACTTAGAGCATGCAGATACTTAAGGCCAAAGCTTGCTAGTATTTCCCAGGGGTTTGTGGCTTGAGCCACCATTGCTGTCTAGACTTGGAAAATTGTGCTATTGTTTATTGAATTACTGCATTAAGAGAGAGAAAAGACAGTTTCCTCCATGAATTGTAGTTGCTGATATGTATATATTTTAAAGGAGACAATTACCATGTTTTTATCACCACCTCTTCCCAGTTTTCAGTTCTTTACTACTCATCTCTCCACAACCATACCCATAGAATTAATTACATATGAAGAGCAGGACCCCAGGTTAAAACCAGAGCAAAAGCAAAAGCATAGAAATTTTTTAAAACTTCTTCCAGATCTACAACTTATGATTCTGGTATAACTCATGATGATGTGTTTGTCACACCCAAAATG